TAGCTACTGCTACGAGTAATATTTAATGCAATACTACTGCAATACTGTATTAGTATTATCTTCTACAGCTTGAGCCATGGCTCAAGTCATACTTTAGCTATGATACAAGTTTATCGGCTTTTGTCAGTTTGGCTCCAATATACAGCTAAACAGATGATTCAATAGTATTCCTTGAGTAACCAAAACCAAAAAAGATCCTTTGGAAGTATTCTATTAGCTAGGGAATTGAGTGTGATGAAAACACCTATTATCAAACTCTTGTTGATATCATCTAAATATACATAATCGAATTAGTTGTTTTCATAAAAAACAAGCAATGTTAAAGAAAAGCAAACCAAAGGAAACAACATAAACGAGGTATTTTTTATAAATTATAATTATTCACTTTAATTATTAAAAAATACAAGTTGAACCTAATTTGACGCAGTTTCTAATTTGACACACAACAATATATTGTGAGCCAATAATCAGAATCATATAATTTTGGTACCATTCGATTCGTCTCATCGAGACGAATCGAATGGTACCAAAATCATTTGGTTCTGATTAATAGTTTTTGAGATACTCTATTTGGCCAAAACAGTCCAAGGTAGATGTATCTAATTTGATGCAGATAAACATTTATGGTGAATACCATGTAATGTATTGATTAGATTTACAAAATTTTGGTACTGTTCAATTCGTCTCGATGAGACGAATCAAATGGTACAAAAATCTTGTGAATCCAATCAATATATCACATGGTATTCACCATAAATGTTTATCTGCGTCAAATTAGACACTATATCAAATTGGAAACATTTTTTTAGCCAAACTTCAATGAATGATATCTCATGATTTGATGATTGGAATTGGGTGATTTTGTTGCCATTTGATTCATCTCAACGAGGCGAATAGAATAGTGCCAAAATCATCCAATTCTGATCAGTGAGGCATGTAATATTTACCATAAACGTTACCTGCGTCAAAATAGAGATACTTACTTTATATAGTGCTATGTGATGCAATATCATGAAGTTTAAGTTAAAATTTCAGGTTTTCATATTTTATTGCTGCACAAAAAATACGCGGCAGGTTCTTGATTTTAATTGGCCAAGAGCGACAATCAAAAAATTTGACCGGAATTACTCATAATTTTATTAATAAAATCACAGCCGCCTACTAAGTAAAAATTGTTTCTGAGTTAATTTTACTATAATGCAAGCTTATTTCTTAAAAATTTTTATTTTTGTAATGAAAAAATCAAAAAGTTAATTTCAGCCGGAAATTAGTAAATATAGCAGATTAAAATAAAATCAGATTAAAATAAAATTTTTCTATTTTTTAGGAAAATTTAAAATTTTTTGAGAGACATTTTTTAGAGTTAGAGTTAGGATTAGGGTTTAGAGTTAGTTTTATTAATAAAAGAGTATAAGTGGGTTTTATAAGCTTTAAAGATGAGCAAGAAAGGTCACCAGTTTCATTTTAATCTGATTTTATTATGATTTGTGACAATAATTTATTTTTTTCTGAAGTATCATGAGGGTTAAAGAGCTAGTATCATATTATAAAAGGTATCTCTACATGATAATTGTGAAAATCTTTTATAATTGTCACATGATAATACCTTTTTTACTATTAAATTTAATTGTAAAGACTATATAATGATTAGACGGTGCCATTTATTACCTGATTTTTTTTTATCAGAGGCTTACCCCCCCTAGTTTTTAATATATAAAAAATCAGGTCTTATATATAAAATTTCAATTTTTTTGACCTCCCCTCCCTAGAAAATCACCTGATAATTATTAGCTCCCTTAACCCTATTTAGTTGATTTTTGGAGTAGTGTTAAGGAAGTTTCACAAAATAAAAATTGCATGATATCCAGTATAGGGAATATAGGAAGTACAGTACGTCTTAATAAGATTTAGGGCAATTGTAAAAAATTAGCCAAAAAATATTTTAGTGGACAAATTTGTCTACTAGATGGTTTAAGGAATAGTGTAATATGATGCAAATCACTATGTAAATTATATAAGCAGGAAATGTGGAGATTTTTTGACAATTATTCAAAGAAAACTTTTTTTTGTACTAAGTTAATTGACAAGATTGATTAATTAATAGTGGTTAAATTATCAAAATCGGCCCAGTGGTTCATGAGATATTATTAAAAAACAATTGGTCAACTATATAAAATTTCTATATAAATAAACTATTGTTTATATAGAGATTTTATATAGTTGGCCAATCATTTTTGATGATTTAACCACCATTAGATGCATCTTAGCAAGTTCTACAACTTTCAATTAATTGATCTTGTTGATTAACTTAGTATGAAAAAAAGTTTTCTTTGAATAATTGTCAAAAAATCTCCATATTTTTTGTTTATGTAATTTATATAGTAATTTGTATTACATTACACTATGATCATGTACCAGATGACTGGTAAATTATCAATTAAATTTAAAAATTTTACTAACAAATACTATATAAATATTTTTAAAATTTATATATAAAAAAAGATATAAATTTTTTAAAATTAAAATTAGAGAAATTCTATTTTTACCTGGATTAAAGTCACTTGAGATTTAATTTTTCTTATTATTATATAATATAAATCTATATCCCTTAAACTTTAAGCAATTCTAGACAAATTTGCCTAGTAAGTTGCTATAAATTTGCTTATAATTTACTTTTTTTAAAATTTATTAAAATATTTAATTAATAGTTTGCAAATAACAATAGAAGAGATTTTATAATAAATATAGTAATATAAAAATTACTTTTCCTATATAAATATATAGTACATGATTTTAAAATTAAATTGCTTGTAACTTTTGATATACTAAACCAATTTTACTAATCCTACTACTATTAAAATCACAAAAACTAGCTCTACAACCTTTGTTAAAAGCTTATACTATAAAAAGTTTACTTAATAAAAAATTAACTTTATATTGTAGAAAGGGGTAATTTTTGTATTATAATATATACTAGCACTTTAACTCTCGTGATACTTCAGGAAAAAATAAATTATTGTCACAGATCATAATGAAATCAGATTAAAATAAAACTGGTGACCTTTCTTGCTCATCTTTAAAGTTTATAAAACCCACTTATACTCTTTTATTAATAAAACTAACTCTAAACCCTAATCATAACTCTAACTCTAAAAAATGTCTCTTAAAAAATTTTAAAATTTCCTAAAAAATAGAAAAATTTTATTTTAATCTGATTTTATTTTAATCTGCTATATTTACTAATTTCCGGCTAAAATTAACTTTTTGATTTTTTCATTACAAAAATAAAAATTTTTAAGAAATAAGCTTGCATTATAGTAAAATTAACTCAGAAACAATTTTTACTTAGTAGGCGGCTGTGATTTTATTAGTAAAATTATGAGTAATTCTGGTCAAATTTTTTGATCATCGCTCTTAGCCAATTAAAATCGAGAACCTGCCGTGCATTTTTTGTGTGGCAATAAAATATGAAAACCTGAAATTCTGACTTAAACTTCACGGTATTGCATCACATAGCACTATATATAGTATGAAATTTGTTTAACCAAAACAAATGTTCAACTTGTATTTTTTATCAATTAAAGTGAATAATTATAATTTATAAAAAATACCTTGTTTATGTTGTTTTCCTTTGGTTTGCTTTTCTTTAATATTGCTTGTTTTTCATAAAAACAACTAATTCGATTATATATATTTAGATGATATCAGCAAGAGTTTGGTAATAGGTGTCTTTATCATACTCAATTCTCTAGCCAATAAAATATTTCCAAAGGATCTTTTTTGGTTTCAATTACTATTGAATCATCTGTTTAGCTATATATTGGAGCCAAACTGACAAAAGCCAATAAACTTGTATTATGGCTAAAGCATGACTTGAGCTATGGCTCAAGCTGTAGAAGATAATACTGATACAGTATTGCAGTAGTATTGCATTAAATATTACTCATAGCAGTAGCTACAATAATAATAATTTTAAAGCAATATATAGTATTTAAAGAAATCATACAAATATTAAAGCCACGCAAAGTTAATTTTTCAGTTTGCATTATATGGATTTCAAAATCAATGGTCGGTTGATCAGATTTTTTTTAAAAAAAATCTACAGTGATTAATAAACTCATGTTCATATTTAAGGCCATGCATAGTTAATTTTTCACTTTGCATATCATGAAATCAAAAAATTGGGTCAGCAATCAAAATTTTTTTTATCAGTTTTATTGGACAATTCTGGAAAAATAAGGTCTTCATCAGGTGGTACTGTATTAATTTATAGAGAAAAATTAAATGACAAAAATAGAACAATTGGCATAATTGGAATCTAAAAAAAAATATCTCAAAAAATTGAAAAAATAGGCCAGCAGGTAATACAAAACTAAAAATTTATTTTGTATGGCCTAACAGCTCTAAAAATCTTAATGGGCTGAAATTGGACTACAAAACTCTTCATTATATTATGTCACATGATATTTTAATTAAGTATCTTTGAATTTAATCAATTGAACATTATCAATTAATATCTAATATATTAATTAATTTTTTATTAAATTTTTATTAATATGATTAAAGGTTCTCTCTCAAGCACATAAATTAATAAGTTGAAGCTCAATTTCAATTGGTGGAAAGTAGCTTAATCTATAAGTAGGTTTATTATTACGATGAAAAAATAATAATTGAACCCATTTTGCAATATTGGTTAAAATTTATTATCTGTATTTCTCTTCAGCAAAATTACAGTTAAGATCGCTTCAATTAATCTTAGTACTAGTGTTTCAAGCCGATTAGGCTAGCCGTTTAGCCGGCCACTTAGCCGCTTAGCCAGCTGGTAATCTTGTTAGCCAGCTAATAAGGTTATTATTAAAAATTAATATACTTAACATAATTAATTATTTATTCATCAGTCAAATTAAATACAGGTATTTTATACTAAATTTATCAAATTTAAATTATATAAATGTATTTTTACAGTTTAATACATATTTAAATTTTGAACCTCATAAATAATGTTTTTAGATTATATAAACTTTTATATCCCAAAAATTTTTATTTCGGTATTTCTTATTAATTGTTAATTAGTATTAATAAATAAGTTATACATAGTATATACGTCAATAAGATTTATCAATATTGAAATTAAACTATATTAGTTTTTTTTTTATTTATTCTCTAGTAGTCTAGCATATGTTTAGTAAAAAAAATAAGAATAGTAAAAAAAAAAAATAAAGCATATTAATTAAATTGTATTCGCAGACTTAAAAACCTGTTATAATAAGCGTTTATTAAAACCTGCATATAATATTTTTAAGCATTTGATGATTTACGCCTTTACAATATATATGAGTTGCATGGTTTTAAGTAGAGCTGCAGACATTAGAATATCAATTAACATTTACTATGACGTTTGACGTGACGTATATGACGTGACGTTTACTATGTTTATATATAAATTTTATATGACGTAAGGAGTGACGTACTACCTTGGACCTCTAAATATTTGCAGCTCTAGTTTTAAGATTGATACTTGTTTTTAAATAAATTAAAATTAAATAATTTAAGTTGACAAAAGTCAACAGATCGAAAAGATAGCTAAGCAGAAAGCAATCCAGTCAAGCCCAGAAGCATAGCTACTAACTCTAATTACTACGTTAATTAACATATAAAAACAAATAAGTACAAATTATTAAGATTTTAATTAATTGCCTATTCAGGCAACAGCCCAATCACTAAACAATTGTCCATTGTTAAGATATGACATAAGAAGATACAATTCAGAAATATCTGTATCATCTTTTGCAAAAATTAAGTTTCACATCTAAGCCCTCCCAACCTTGCTATTTTGTGGCAACTTAAAGCTTCAATTCAAGGCTAGCCTGCTTTATGCAGTATAGCTAATGCTACACATTGCAATTTCAGCTAATGATGGCAATATCTAGCACAATTAGATTTGCTATTTCTGGAAGCATACTCTGTCTTGGTTTATACATCAATCACGCTAAAATTTTTCAATAAAAAATTATGCAATAAAGTTTAATATCTAGTATCGTTAGCTAGAGACATCCAATTTAAAATACTTATCACATGCGTGCAATGATAAAATAATATAATGAACTACTTAATTCGGGTTATGCTATATAAGAACATCAATTATATGAAAAATTTACTAAACCAGAAAGTTTTGCCACTATCTTAAATAAGGAAGTGATTCTGACATAAATGATTTACTATTTATTCACCATGTTCTATATGTAAAACAAGAATAGCTTATTTAATTATAAAAACAATATAATACTGTAAAGTAATAATACCAATAGCTAATAAAAAAGCTACTTATCTATATAAAAATTGATTGTTCATAAAAATTGTTAATCCTATTGAGGAAAATATACTAGTATTAGATATTTGCTTTACAAAATATAGATCTATTTGCTTAAAAAAAATTTGATCCAATAATAAAATTTATTTTTATATACTTTTAAAAATACCTTTTAATTATGTAATATTTTAGTTGCTTTACCTTAATTAAAGATAGAAATTCAATAAACTATTTTTTATAAATCAAATATCTAAAATTTAACAATTTCTATTTTTTCTTGGTTCTGAATCATTTTACCTTTTAATCATCTAAATTATTTATAAAAATTAAAGTGAAATACATTAGTTCTAAGATTATTTTCAAATTCATAAAAAATTTTATATGTATATTATTTTTTCTTCATAGATTCTCAAGATGATAAATTTTTTATATATTTTTTTGCACAATCAAATTCACCACGAACTTGCAATGACTTAAATGAGGAATTAGAAGATGAACAGTCCGATAGTTTAGATTATTTGAGTTTAAAAGCTGAAGAAAAAGTATCAGTTTCAATATCAGCTTCTGTATCTGAAAATAAACTAGTTTCAAATAAATCTGGTCAAAAAAGAATACCTTCATGGACAAAGAAATTTTTTGATACTTTTAGGCTTGAAAAAAAAAGAAAATATAATGTTTTATTTAGTTCAAGTAAAGGAAAAATTAAATGTGGTTATTCTTTTAATATTCAAACTACTACAAGCAATCTTGCACCACATTTACGTACTGTTCATCACATCAGCAAATTTTATATATAGATATATATCGATTACTAACCAAGTAGATATATATCGATTACTAGAACCCCTGCCGATTTTTATCGATAGTGATTATAATCGATATATATCTATAATGGTTAATAATCAATATATATCGATAGTGATTATGATCGATATATATCTATAATAATTAATAATCAATATATAATCAATATACAAAACTAATAGCATCTGCATCATAATATATCTACCCGATTATACAATAATTATATTATTAAATAAAATTTATTTATAAGCTTTGATATATACAAGTTTATTTTTAATAACTAATCAGCCCAACTTCTAAATACAAATAATAGCAACAAAAAGTAGCAACTAAATATCACACTAATACAATACCATGTTGTATTAGTGCTCAGAAAAGAAAAAAATCTCCCAAAGATGAAAACTGATTAAACTACTACAAACTTCCAAAGTTCTTTCTATTTATACTTAAGAAAGTACCAAAAACCCAAAGATTGAAGTTACTAAGCAATGAAACCCACCAACGACGACGACACTAAGGTAGTGAAAGCACTCCCAAAGGCTCCAAAGACAACGACGACAACGATACCAAAGCGACTCTAAAGACAACGACGACAACGACACCAAAGCGACTTACCTAGTAAAAAAAACAACTACTCAAAGTATAAGACTTCAGGACTAATTTACCAACAAGAACATCAAGAACCTAAAACCCTTAAACGATATTAACGAAATAGCAAAAGTAGAACGCTGTTACTTCACCGCAAGAATGCTGTTGTTTCACTACAAGAATGGCATTGCTTCACCACAAGTTAAAATCCTGAAAAACGCCACCAAATCACTGCAAGAAAATACCAAAAAATATATTAGTATTAGTTGTAACGAAACAAAAAAAAAGAAAATACGTATTAAAAAAAAATACTTATCTTTATATAGATTCGTGCAATCTACTTTTTCGACGACTATTCTCAAGAAAAACATACTTCCGTAAGGTAAATGGAAAATTTTCACTTTACTAATCTGCTTGGGATCAACCTTTATGCCCAACAACATACTTGTATATTTTTAATTCTTCTTTGTTGGTCTAATTTCCGTTAGAAAGTTGCTTCTCAGTCATTTCTTGTTTGCAAATCTTCTTGTTCCCGAATGGTCTCTTCTGTTCTTCGGTTTCTTTCTATTACCTGTTGGGTCGTAGGTTTTTGGGGTTTTCTAAGTTCTAAAAGAAAAAAATAAATAAATAAAAAAATGAATAAATAAATACGTAAATAAATACGAAAAAAG